ACATGCTCCATTCTTTTGATACCAAAATGCCAATATACAGAAGTTGTAAACTTATTATAAAATTATCTCAGTCCTACTTAATTCCTGACTTAGATATTCTCTTCTTTGCAGAGGACTTTTTTCAGAAGATTACAGCGAGACTCATTATTCCCCTGATGGCAGAGAAATTACAACATACCCCTCGGTTGAGGTAGGGTCTCACTTTTAAGAGTCTTGCTTTTAGGAAGTAAATTGAAGCAAATCTTTCTGCACAATATTACAAATATACAAGAACGAGACCAGGCTACTCAAATAAGGAGAGCTATATATGTATGAAGTATCTTATATTGATATGTACTTATAAGGATATATGGATTGTTAAATCCAGTTTGTCTTACTCATTGAATTATTATGGCAGTATTTCAATCATCCAGTTCTTTCCTACTGGTTAAAAACCAGCATTTTGGGGAGTGAGTTTCACAAATAAATTTATTATGAGAACATCAGGTTTATAAGATCTATATTTTCATTTTTGAACCAGACTACAGGGATACATGCAAAATCTTTTATTTGTAATACCAAAAGTGATAACAACTTTAACAACTTTCTCCTATACATAAATATTTCATATTAAATTGGTCCAGAACGTGGCCCTACCAGCTGCAAAAAAATGACAGCGCTAACATGCTTTGTAAAGTCCTTGGCTCCTTGCCCCCAAATTCATCTAAAAGTGCATCCTCTGTCTCCAAAAATTATCTATTTCTGGCTTAGCATCTTCAAAGGTCATACAAATTCCTCCCATTTAATGTGTAACAGAAATCTGTTGATTTTAATATCTACATGGATCCTGCTTCCAGATAATGCTAGGAATTATATCTCTTTGTTTATTCTGAAACTTTCCTTGTGTGAGCTCAAGAAAATAATGATTATTTGGTATTATTAGTAAATGTGGAATTTTCCATACATTATGGTAAGATTTCAGAATGTAGAACAACCATCAAGTCTGAAAGTTTCTTCAGCAAATCCTGTGGTTCAGCACTAGAGTTGACCTACAAGAAAAGATTTTATATTTGTGTGTTGGTTGTCTGCCCAAGCAGGTCTTCTGTCCCCCTGAATCAAAATTTTCTGAATAACTGCTGTCTTAATATTTCCTTGATGTGGTGGAAAACATTGGAACTCTACTTCTGCTCATCAAATCACACTACAAACCAGCTTTAACCAGTGTAGTCCTCTTGCCTCCCTCCAGGATCACTGCTATTATCATGGACGCATCCACAATGACGCTGACTCAACTGCAAGCATCAGTGCATGCGATGGTTTGAAGTAAGAGAGTCTTGAATATTTTCTTTGTTTTATTAAGAATAATATATTGCTCTTGGAGTTGTCACAGTTAAAATGGAAAACATCAGTTTTTCATGTAAATGAGTTGGGTGTGATCCAAGACTTCTGCAGAATTAAGAAAGACTTTGGCTGAATACCAAGAAGAGCTGCTGACAGTGAGTAGAGACACAAGGGAGCTAAATCAGATGTGTCTAAAGGAGCTTCCAAGCCCCTGTGTCCTTTACATACATGAGGAGATGTTACAGGTAGAGAAGATAAATAGGTTTCAGTTTTCATACCTTGCTAGAAAGGTATTCCAAGCAAAAGTATCTCCAAACAAATAATGTACAGATATTGTGTGGTGTGCAATCTCTTATATCTTTCTGATCATAGCTGTATCTTTGAGAAATATGAGAAAGGGATATGAGTGCTGAGGAAAGAAAATAAAAAATTCAGTGAGTGTTAAGAAGGGATTCAAAAACACAGAGAATGTTGACTTGGTTAGTGAAAAATGGGTCTCAGAGCTGAGTTTCATTACCCAACTTGGTAACATCATCAGTGCAGGTGATCTCTGACCTTACCATATTCTCTTCTGTTGCTTCTCCATCTCTGATCACCCTTTTCCACATTGTTTTACAGAGGATATTTCAAGCTTCAAGGGGAGACGTACCTTATTGAACCCTTGGAGCTTTCCGACAGTGAAGCCCATGCAGTCTTCAAATACGAAAATGTAGAAAAAGAGGATGAGGCCCCCAAAATGTGTGGGGTAACCCAGAATTGGGAATCAGATGAGTCCATCAAAAAGGCCTCTCAGTTATATCTTACTCCTGAAGTAAGTCTCATATTTAACTTGGTTTGAGAACAGGGATTCATTTACTTGTTTCTAAAATGTAAAATTAGAGAGAAATAATGGGAACTTGATGAACAGAAAATACATGTTCTAGGCTTATAGCATTTTCGTTGGTCATACAGATTTGAATCAAAATGGATTTAAATGAATCTCAAATCATCTCTACTTTCTAAGTCAATTTTGAAAAGTAATCAAATTATCAATTTGGATGCCTCTTTTGTGCATGCAGAGACGACTTGGGATAGGGGAGAAACTGGTTTGAAATATTTAACAGTTTTGAGATGTGTGATAAGACCATTACATAATCTTGACTCCATTTTCCAATTTGATTTGAATCATTAAATTTGATTGATGCAATGACTGAATGAATAGTGACAAATTGAATCTGGTCACAATTGACCCTCATACTCTCAATATTTTCCTCCTTTACTGGAGGGACAAAAATTAGAAAACAAAACATTGCATCCAAAGTGACAGTTCCTTCCTTCCTTTTGATGACAAACGTTGAAACTGGCTGAAATAGATCTAGAAATTCAAAATATCAACTTTTTTATTAAAATGTTAAAATTGACATGACAGTTGTTGTTACAATGGAATACCAAAACACAAATGAAGATGCCAAAATTGATTATGAAGTCTGGTTTGCCTTTTGGCTTCAGTGTTTCTAGAAATTCAAGATTCTTTATCCTCAGCAAGTTGTGATTATATACATTATGATTAATTGGTCCTTAATTGGTCCTCTATCTTGAATGTCCTTTTCTCAATGTCAGGTCATGATCACTTTATTCAAACTGGATCTAGTGCAGCAGAGTTAAGAAAGTGGCTGTCAGAGAGCAAGGAGAGAAATTGCACTCTGGAATTGGCAATTTGGCCTTGTAGTTCTGTGTGCTGAAAAAACACGAGTACACTTTCCTAGGGAAAGAAGCAAGTAACGCACCCTCACACATTCAGGTCTCAGCATAAGTCTACTTCCTGAGCAATCTGGGTCCTCCAGTGGTG